TTATCCAGTGCTAACTAGAAATTTCTGAGTTTAATATTAGATTTAAACCATTTAAGAGTCAAAACTTGACTCCAACACAGCACTCAAAGAGTAAGTCATGATGGGGGTGTCGAACGCAGCACTCAAGTTCAGCAGAACTAAAACTGAACAACCACCTGAACAGGTATCAACTAGAATATAATTTTTCAGTTTCAAGAGAGAAGATTTAACACTGTGGAAAAACCCTGAAACCTGATTAAAAGATTTCATAGATATTGTTTAGCCAAAAGACTATAGACTCCAGACATCCACTTCCAAATTTTGCTTCTTTAAGAATGACTGGACTACTGTTTGGCAGTTCTGCATTTATAAATGAGAGAACACCACAGCCTATTAAATCAAAAACCAAGATGGCAGGCAGGACATCTGTTATAGAAGTGAAACATGTCATATGACATCTGTGAAAAGAAAACATGTTCAGAGTCTTCAAACGTGGCAATAGCTGATTAATAAAAAAGGGATTAGCACCACAAGTTAAAATATTTGCTCTCATATTTTCAGCATTGCTAAGAAAAAAGTTGGAAAATTTCTCAAAAGCCCTCTCTCTCACCATTAGCCTTTGACATTTGGGGCAAATACACATATTAGTCACCTGGAGAAAATATAAATTTTCATGTGAAGTTTTAGGTCCAATGCAGAACCCAGGAGATGATGATGGAAGGGAGGAAAGCTCCCCCCGAAATGAGACAGATCCCAACCTGCAGGATGGAAGTGACGACGCTGAAGAAGACAGTGGAGCGACTGCCTCACATTACAAAGAGGTTTGAGATGTGTATCTGCTGAGGTTTTGTTTCCTTACTTGGTTGCTATTTTGGAAACAGGTCATTGAACACTGATGCAGTTTGGATGTTTGGCCAGGTGCTGTGCTGCTGCACTCACAGTCTTAACTGTTGGATGCATAAAATATTGCAGTAGTGTTAGTCATATGGCTCAAATGGAATCAGCAGTTTGGACTCTCATGACAGGATCCATTCTTAAAGAAGTGTGTCCTTCTTTGAAAATTTTACATTTTGCAAAACCACTCACTCAGCCAGATTGGCCCCTTTGGTGGGCAGGTTCATGTTTGACATCTTCAGTCTAACAGTTCTCAATGTCTAAATCACAGCAGCTATTAAGGAGCTCTATTCATGCTTTATGTTTGTCTCCGGACTCACAGGCTCAGTCACTGCCACAGCCAGAGAGCCCTGCTGCCCAGCGTTACCCTGACCTCACTGTAGTGGATGAAAACCTCCCTGCAGCCACAAATTTAAGTAAGTCACACATTAATCCTCTGTGGGATTTACTTCTATATATTCTATAGCAATATGTACCCTTTTTATATGATTATTTATTTTTTGGTTAAATTATGCCTCGCTGCATTCAGCTTTTATGCTCCTTATATCTGGAACAAACTCCCAGAAAGCCTCAGATCAGCTGAAACACTCAGTTTATTTAAATCCAGGTTGAAGACTCACCTGTTCTCAGCTGCATTTGAATAAAGCACCAAATCCACACTTTTAAGCTTAAATTTCAAAACTTACATTTTAACTACTGATTTTATCTACTGTTCTGATTTTATCTGTTTTGATTTTATATACTGTTTTGTTTGTTTGTTTGTTAATTAGTTAGTTTGTTTGCTTGTTTTAATCAATTTTTAATCATGCTTTTTATTTGTTTTTGTTTCTAATGTCTCTGTAAAGCACTTTGAATCACCTTGTTGTTGAATTGTGCTATACAAATAAACTTGCCTTGCCTTGCCTTGCCTTTCACTGTATTTCAGTGCAAGAGGATGTTGCTCAGATGGCTCACCGTTCACACACATCGGAGGAGATGGAGGATCATGAGCCACTGCCAGAAGACGAGGAAGAGGAGTTGATCATTCTTGATCCTGAGCATGTTTGTAGCTTCACCTTTAATCTTTACACGACCAGTGTTTACTAAATAATGAATGGATTTTTGTCTTAGTGCTCATCAGAAAGAAAATTGAATTATGATGGATGTGAAGCATTAACACTACGTATCTTTGTCTTCCACTGGGACGTTACTGATACTATATTTAATCTGTTGGCAGCCCGTGGTCAGAAGACAACAAGCTGCTCTGACAAACCAGCTTAGAAAACAGCTGGAGAGGATCAACCAGACACTGAAGGAAAAGGTCGGCCACTTCTCTGACCAAAAACTCTCTACATCTTTGCTCAGTTAATACACTGATTCACACATGCAGGAGCAAACAAGCTAGTTTCTATACAAACAAATGCAACTTTTCTATTTAAATGTCCAGAAGATGGTGCTGTAGAACTGTATGGCAACTGCAGAACACTTCACATCTTCTGTATTACATAAGACAGGTGTTTAGGAAAGATGCAACACCCACAAACTGTTTACCTTTCCAAGAAAAACACTTGTTGCAGGGTTAAGGTGTGAGGCCTTCATCACTCAAATGGGTAATGATGACAAACACAGTATATTAAATGTCATGTATGGTATATATAGCGAATATTGATTTATAGTACAGTATATTTCATATGTAATGAGTTGAAATTTAAAGCACTTTGTATAAAACATTTTAAGAGTTCCCCTCATTATCTGAATATGTTCACATAATGTGTTCACATAATGAATAATGTTTGAAGGTCACAGCTTTATTTTTAAAATGTCCCCAAAAGGGTTACAATGTTGGAAATAAATTACAAATACAATAAAATCTTTTTCAGTTCCAGTTCCAACCGGCAACCACTAATAAGTAGAACCAGTACTTTTATACCAGGCTTTGTCCTGGATGAAGGAAAGACATTTTAGCACCCAACATAAAAGCATGTATAAAGTCGGTCGTCGTCTAGAATGATTGATTTTTCTGTGATTTCTAACTGCTCTCCTCCTCCATCAGCATGCAGTTGCGAAGGATGATGCTAGCCACGATCAGGAATTAGGTGTGGAGGTCTTCAGGATTCAGGAGCATCTGGTCAGACAGCAGAACAGGCTGCATGACCTCCACGAGACCAAGACACAAGCCGAAACCAAACACCAGCAGGCTCTGAACCAGCTGGAGGAGATAAAGAGTCAACATTCCAGCATGACCAGAAAGGTCTGCGAAGCCAGAGCCAATGGTGAGCCTGGACTGTCATTTAGAGGTTGTGTCTTTGTGCTGATCCAGGATTAGTTTGGATTTTATATGACTCCATCCGAATCAAGCTTCATTCTCTGTTTGGGGTTGTTTTCCACTGTGAGTTCACTCGTACTACTTATGATTGTTACTCAGTCTGCAGTAAAATTAAATAAAATGCTGTGAAATTCAGTTACATTAGGATTCCACTTTATGCAACTTCTTTATATTCACCCCTTAGGTTTACACGTTTCAGCCAGAAAGCTGAAGCTTTAAGATCAACTCTTTTATATGCATTTGGCTTTATGTTAGTATAAGTGAGAATCTGATGGATGTGAAACCCTAAAAGTTCAATGGCGCAAGTTAAGAAGTTAAAATAAATGTAAACAGATTTTATAATTTTTTTTAATCCTTCCCTTTTAAAAGCAGCCTTTGTTGGGCCTATGTAATACTGTTTGAGTATCTCATATGTTTATGTTCTCTCCTCTGTCCTCCCTCAGAGTCCCAGCTACAGGCACAGTTAGACAGCATGACACAGTATCTCATCTTCATCCAAGGAGTCAGTGAAGGTCTGCGCTCTGAAGTCAAAACCATGAATAACGCTAGACGCAAAGCGAGAGCTGAGAAGACCCAGGCAGAAGACCAGAAATTAAAGCAGGTAGACACTCACATGTAAATTATTACGATTTGATTGTATTTGTCAATATATACACTATCTGGTATATCAACATGATTTTAACTAAGCGAAAATACTCATCTGTTACATCAGGATTTATATGTGGAGCGACTAACAAAGGAGTTGGACAGGCTGACGCAGCAGATAGCCATGTACGAGTGCAAAACCAGTGCTCAAGCAGAGGAGACACAGACAGCCAAAGAGGCTCTCTCAGAGGTAACTGCTGTGCCATAAAAGGTTATATGCTGCATCTTTACATGAAGAGATGAGCACTTTATCCCTGCAGCTTTAACAAGAATTAGTTGCCCACCAGACCTTTTTTGGACATAAAAGCAAAATAGTGAGCTAGTGAGATAAGGTGCTAGTTAGTGTTGGGTGATTTCACTATTAAAAGTGTCAACTTTCATACTACCCATAGCAAATAAATATTTCATTGATGTGAATATTGCTTTTATATCGATTAGTAAAACTGAAAACATTAAAACAATAGTCCAGTTCATTTATCCAGTGACTGATTGAGTGAAATATATATGGATTCACATTCAAGTACTTGCATTTAGGTATGTAGACATGGATAAGACAACCTGCTAGAGTTCAAACTGTGCATCAGAACAGGTCTCTTAAAGGTGATTTAAGTGACCTTGAACGTGGCATGGTTGTTGGAGCACATGAGACAGTCTTTTTTTTTCAACTGCTGATATACTGCACAACCAGGAGAAAATATTCTGTGAGCAGCAGTTGTCTGAGACAAATTGTTTGATGCCACAGATCAGAGGATAATGGCCAGACTGTCATGTTTCGGCTGTGTGCAGGCAGGAGAGGACCCAAACGCAAACTCACGGGGAGTAAACTGGGAAAAACTAATTATAATATGCACAAGGAGACACAGGGAGAATCACACACAGCTATGAGGGACGACGCGACATGGAACAGAGGGTGATTCTGACATAAATACACAGAAGGTAATGAGTGAGGTGGGAACATATGGGAGCACAGCTGAGGACAATTACGCATAACAAGACAGGGAGGATACGGAACTGAAAATGCTAACCCAAGGTGCAAACCTTAAACGTAACACAGGAAGAACACAGAGACACAGACAGGAGGGGAGAGAGAGAGCACGGAGAGAGGACTGACATCATGGGCAGGGGAAACATGAGACAAAACACGAGGGGAAACAAGGCACAGGAGCTCAGAATTATATGAACACAAATATACAGAGGGCGACAAAGGAGCAATTACACAAGGAAATCTGACAACCAATAGCTAAACATAACAACCTAGGGACTAAAACGTTAAACTAACAAGGTAGACTCAAACCATAATACAAAATAACAACACACAAAAACTGAAACCGCTGGGTCATAAGACCCAGGATCATGACACTGACTTCTTTGAGCTGCTAGGAAGACATCAGTAAGTCAAATAAACATTTGCTAGAACCAAAGTATGCAGAAAGATCACCTCTGAAGGCATGATTTGAAGCAGATGGGATACAACAGCAGAAAATCACTAAGGGTGAATCTCCCTTCAGATAAGAACAGGAAGTGGAGGCAATTCACACAGTATCAGCTGTTCAGGATGGTGCTGGTGTAATGGTGTGGAGGATATTTTATTGGCTCACCTTTGATCCTTCAGTATCGACTGAGCACTGATGAAATACCACACCTACCTGACTCTTGTTGGTGCTCATTCCTTTATGACCACAACCACATATTACCCATCTTCTAATGGCTGCTTCCAACAGGATGTTGAACCATGTCACAAAACATCTCAAACTGGACTCTTGACCATGACAATGAGTTCACTGCAGTCAGATGGCCTCCAGCAGTCACCACATCTCCGTCCAACAGAGCATCTGTGAATCTTTGCCACAATTTAAAAAAAGGCTGTTTTGAAGGCAAGTTTGTCCAACCTGAACTACCTGTAACTGATGAAGTGGCTGGTGGGCAGTGTTGGTCAAGTTACTTAAAAAAATTAATCAGTAACTAATTACTGATTACTTCCCCCAAAAAGTAATCCTGTTACTTTACTGATTACTTATTTTCAAAAGTA